ACCAAATGGGCTCTTACTTGAAAGCTTTAGCTCCGAAAATACCGAGCCTCCAACGGTATCCACCCACAAAGGACGAACACCGACTTTTTAGGTCCGCTACCTTGGAGTTAGCAAGGTCCGACCAAAACCCAAGTGTTAATGAAGTTTAAGAGTTTTTGCCAAAAGTGCAATGCTCTTTCTAACTCCCACTCAAACACTTTTCTCCAAAACCCAACATGGGTATTTATAAGGAAAAGTGGGAATGAGAATTTCAATCCCATCAATGTGGGATCATGAAATTTCACAATTAAATTTAAAGCTAAAATAAATTAAATAGGCAAGCAAGTAATAAATCAACAAGTGTCCTTGTTGTATGTAAAGAGAAGTGAGGACCACTTGGAGAGGAGGGGACCATACTTTCTCCCCACTCCTTCCTCTCCTTGTGCCACTTGTCCTTACACAAACACACTCCCTTCACATGCTTCCCCTATGACTCACCTTAGCACTCGGCCTAGCCTAGCCCCGCACACGCGGGCTGCTAGCTGCTGCCTTCTTGGCCCAGCACGCCCACGCACATATGTGCGGGCTGCTGCTGTCGATAGGCGCTAGTAGCGAGCCACGCACATGTGCGGGATGCTAGCAGTAGCGCGCGCCAGCAAGCCACACAATGCTTGCGGGCTGCTGGCCGTAGCTTGCTAGCAAGCCTCGCACATGGTGCGGGCTGCTAGCTTGCCTAATCCCCTAGCACTCGGGATTCCGATGCTAGGGGTATTTTAGTCATTGTTGATTTATTACTAATTTTTCCGTCTCGTCTTTTATTATTTTTGACTCGACTTCCGACGCTTGGTTACGACGCTCTAAGCTCGAATTTCCGATGTCTAATTTTAATACTCGGGCGACGAATTAATTTCTTCCGAATTAATTCTTCGAGTCGGTTCGTATATTTTCTTGGGTGTGATCCGAAGGGTTCAATCAAGATTAAGCTGTAATATTAATTATACATTAATATTACTGATTGGAAGCGGCCTCCACCCAGCATTCTGATCACTTGACCTTACTGAATATATTAGATTTCTAATAATTCTGAACTTGATATCAGAATAATACACTTGTTCGAAGGGCACCATTTCTTTCAAAAATAAGGACAAATTGTCGAGAATTATTGAATTTTCCACCTAATAGGTCATTTCATTAACAACTACTCGCTTAAAATTTTCATCAAAAAAATTACCCCCTAAATTTAAAAAGTTTGAAGGGCACTACCCATTTTGGGTTTTCGGCTGCAAAATCCGGTTAGTGGGGTCCATTTTTTAAAATTTCCTTCCAAAAGTTAAGAACGAAATGAAAAATTAGGCATTTAAAAAGCAAAAAAAGTATATTTGTAACCCTATATTATCAAATTACAATGAAAATCAACCAATTTCCTCAATGTCGCAATACCCCAATTTTTATTTCAAAATGAACCCTGATTTTATAATCATTTAACTTTAGAATCAACGTAACATATCTTTTAGTTCTATCATCATCAATTAATTTCCCCTTTTATAATTGACAAAATTTTGAATTTCTGTGTTTTTAGGTTAAGCCGTTGCAAAGTGGATGAGGTTGGTTGTTATAGACGAAGGTTAGGCTTAAGTTTTGTAGGGAAAAATAAAAGTGTTCCCTAATAGCTAGATTTTATTGCGCGAAAACCAAAATGGGTTAGTGATAGTCAAACTTTTTAAATTTAGGGGTATTTTTTTGATAAAATTTTAAGCGAGTAGTTGTTGACAAAATGACCTATTAGATGGGTAGATTCTGACAATTTTTCTTCCTAAAAATAAAAAATAAGCTATTGGAAAATTAAGATACATAGATACAATATTTTTTTTTTTATGACAAAATAAAAAAGACATTTTTATTTAGAGAAAATAGTGGTACATAGGAAAAATATATATATATTTTCTTACACCTAGAAAAAAAATATAACCTCAACCTACTCATTCTTAATAGTTAAGGTTGTAAAATTTTTAAAACAATTTTTTTTTTTCTTAATCTTTTTCATAAATGTTTCGAGAGGTTACATGTATTGACTGCCTTTGTTGGTGTTGCTATCTAATTTGACTAGTAACGCCATTTTGGCTATTTATATGTATATAAATATATTTAGTCGCCGTTACATAATTAATTGCCTTCTTTCATGATGCAACATGATTTTCCTCCATCTATTTATTGATTTCCTACCATTCTTATATAACATCTTCATACTTTTAAATGTGATTAAACATCAATCACATTGAAAAAAACAAATTAGCCATTATGTCCTTCTCTACATAATTTTGGGGGTTAATATACTCTACTCTTTTTATCCATCTACTCGTTGAAATTACAATCAATTCTCGGAGTTGTGATAATAACGGGCGTGATAACCAATACCATTAAATTGATGATGATTCAAGAATCAAGTCTGATCTAGTAGCCACTTTCCAGATAAGTTATTTATTGTTTTGTTTTCGATAGAATTCTTATTCTAAAAGTAAATTGAATTTTGCTCCCAGATTGGTTTGTATTCGTTCTCATTGTGAAATCAAATTAAAATGATTCAATCTTTCAAGTAACTAATTAACTATAACTATCATAAAAAACTTCTATAAAAATTTAATATCTTCAAAATATATTTATTAGTCGAAATTAATTTTTTTTTCTTAGGCCCATTCATTAATTAATTGTGAAATTTACATACAATTAAAGCTTGAATTTTTTCATCATACACTCTAGAATTTTTGTATTTGCATCTATACCTATGAGTTTTTATAAAAATCTGTAAATACCCTTAATGACTACAGGATGAATGAAATTTGATTAATTATACCTTTAAACCACCCGATCCCATTCTCCATACTGAAACAACCTCTCCCTTCCCCCAACCCTAAAATCACCCTAGATCTCCTCCGTCCATCCTCCCTTAATAAAATATTTGGTTTTGGGGGATGGGAATTGGGATAAGGGGTTAGTTTGAAAGGGTAAAGGAAGGGATATATGGTAGTTTCGTGGCATAATTAACTTTACTAACTTATGGTTCTAACGACCAATAGTCGTGAAGAATATTAAGTGCATTTTTGAAAAAACCCGAGTAGGGGTGCCCATTCAGTTTTCGGTTTGGATTTAAGTAAAATCCAATCCGATCCGAAATATAATTCAGTTTATAATTTTTCAATCCAATTTGATCCGAATCACTCTCTTAATCCAATCTGAAATAAAATTCGATAAGGATTTGATTCGAAAATCCGCATTAAAATACGTAAATTTTAGGCATCTAATAGACTAATACAATGATATAAAAATAAAAAACAATAATAAAAATAATATTTTGTCCAATCCTTAATATATATTAATACAAATCTGGAAAATATTCATGACTAACATAGATTATTTAATATCCAGTCAAAATAAATTGTTCAAAATAACTAGTACAACTACAAGGCAGCACCATTAGTCCATTACAATAATAGTTAACAATGTAACCCAATGCACAATTACAACTACAAGGCTGGAGGTTAAGAGAACAGGAAACAACAACTTTTAACCGTAACTTTGAGAAACAACTACAAAAGTCCATAGTCATACATGTTAAATTTTACAATTTGGTTTTCAGTTTAGTTTGGATCCAATTAGGGTGAATCTAATCCAATCTAAAATTATAAATTTACAAAAAATCTCAATCTGATCCGAATTGATTATTCGGTTTCGATTGGATTGGATTTTGGTTTTAATTATATGGGCACCCCTAAAATCGAGGGTATACTGTGAATTTAAAAAAGTGCAAGGGTGGTATAGCGAATAAATTGAAAACTTGGCGTTATATGGTGAAAAAATCGTTTAATAAGCTTTCCTTCATTCCACATATATTACACCATGTTGACTATTACACTACTTAAAAATTTATTATGATTTACTTTTAGTGAAATTATAGTCTTGTGAAATCTTGCTGACTTATCCCGATTAATACTTTCTAGATATCAAATTTTAATAATTTTTACGTAATGAGAATTAAACATATCAAAGGTTAAAGTTTCACATTAGGAACCATAAAAATCTCTATGATTCAATATCTCTTAAAACTAGGAAGTATAATAATTATGCTACACTAACCATTTGAATTCCTCCTTTAAAAATACATATTATTAGAATTGTTCATCTTTATCCAAAATAACATATAATCCAATTAAAATATAATCCCTCTTAAAGTAAAAAAAATCTCATTAACAACATGTAATAGAAGACACTTTCAAATATAACGACCACTTACTCACCTCTTATTTTGTAAACTTTTTAAAAATTGGAAAACCTTATTAAAGTTAACTCATATAAATAACTCTAACACCTCTAATATTTTTGTTAAATTTAACTTGGTGAATGCAAAATGTTATGTAGTTAATAATCAAATGATGTTCTTACTCTATGTTATTTTAGCTTTTGTTATTTTTTAATCTCATAATAATCTAGTAGACTAACACCAATATCTAGAATACGTAAAATAAAATCAATTTTTATTTAAATTCTTTGTTTTCCTCGTATACAAGAAGTCGAATTTCAAATAAATTTTATAATTTTTCTTGTATTACTTTGTTTGTTAAATATGAGACATAAAAGGGGACATCATCACTATACCATTATGAAACAAATGGTTAATGAGGAAAATGTAAAATAATTTAAAATATTTGACTGTTCAAAACTTATTGAAACACCTTGGGCTTATTAGGTGGGAAATATATCATTATTAGACCAATAATAACTATGGAATAAGCTAAAGTGGATTCCATGTGGGAAATATATTATTTTTAATACCTATGAAATCTGCTAAAGTAGATCGATCTATTGAGATTCCTTCCCATATTTAAATTTTTATTCCCATTTTAATAAATAAATATCAACGGTTAGATCAACATCTTTTTTATTAAAAAAACAACGTTCGGATCATCCGTTGTTCTCCTTTAAAAGCGATTTTAGATCTAGCTTTGTTATTCACAATAAAATTATAACATACATAATAACAAAAAATAAGAGAGGAAAATGGGTCGTCGAAAGATTGAAATGAAGAAAATAGAGAAAAGCTCATCAAGGTTGGTTACTTTTTCCAAGCGTCGATCAGGCGTTTTTAAGAAAGCAAATGAGCTTTCTACCTTGTGTGGAGCAGAGATTGCAATTCTTGTCTTTTCTCCCGGAGGAAAACCCTTTTCATTTGGGAAACCAAATATTGAAACTGTGGTTAATCGATTTCAAAATAGAAATCAGAAACGAGGTAGAAGCCATAAAAATGGATCTCGTGCATCGAACAAGAAGACTCAGAATCGAGTTCAAAAGCTCAACCATGAACTCATCAATTTGGATGCTCAAATCGAGTCTGAAACTCAAAAAAATGAGAAATTTAACCAATGGGGAAACAATTGTTTGTTTGAGGGAAAACAACCAATTGAAAAACTTGACTTAAATCACCTGAAAATATTTCAGAGGCAACTAAATGATTTTTGCACCAATTCAAATAGCCAGGTGATGGAATATGAAGCATCGCAATCCTTATTGCTTTTGGCAAATATGGAGTAATTCAATTCAAAAAGATTAGCAAAAACTTGGTTACTAAATTAAATAATATCTTATTTCAATAGAAGCCATAAAGACGATGGTCAATAAAGTTATTTAAATGTTTGTTGTTTTTCCTTTGAATAGTAATATTGTAATCTTAATTTTCATGAAATCATAATAAATTTGGGTGTTAAATTTTAAGTCTAATTATAAGTTTATTATTGCTTTTATGTTTCTACTTCCAGCAAAAGTATACTTTTCCAATTACATGACTATAATTATTTAAACAATACATAAATACAACTTTTTAATTTATTCCTAACTTTTGAAATTATAATTGAATGTTACATACTAAGCTTTGGTATTAAAATTAACATAAATTCATTAAATTAATTTGATAAAAAAAATTGATACATGGAACATTAAATTAGCTATTGTTCATGTCATTCACAATGTTGATAATATATAAATACATGTTTTAAAATATACTTTGTATACTATATTTTTCACAATGTATAGAAGAAATGACACACTACATCATTCATTTGATATTTAAATATTATATAATTTTACATGAGTATGTAAAATTATAATGTGTAATGACATTCATATTAAAATTACACCTAAGTGTTAGGTGTATCATGACAATTGCACATCCTAAGTCAATAATTGGTGAGAAAAAGTTTTTAATAAAACATTTCAATAATTATTACTAGATGATATGTTTCCTTATTAGTTTGATTTATTGCCAGTTTTAAAGATATTTCATAACCTTTTCAATTAGGTAGGGTATTTCAATTTCCATAAATTCTTGATTCATAACTTAGCAGGTTGCAATTTTAATTTCCATATCCCAAAGTTTAAGGCCCACTCTTTTCACCTTAATTATATTTGTTGAAATGAAAATATTTTTACTAAATTAAAATCATTTGTACAAAATTAAATTGTTTTTGTTTAACTTGAATTATTTTTACTAAATTTAAATGTTTTTACTAAGGAAAAATTGTCCAGAATAACCACACCTTTGGGGCATATGCTAAAATTAATCTCACATTTGGATTATTTTTAAACAATCTGACCTTTGATCCCAATCCGTTCAAAATATTTACAACCGGTCATGTAGCTTGTTATAACAAGTTACAAGACACGTGGCAGCCTGTGATTGGTAAAAATAAAAGGAAAAATTGACAAGAATAATCCCAACTTTGTGTGATTCGCCAAAAATAATCCCAACTTTGAATATATTTTTTAGTAATCCAAACTTTGATGTGAATTTGCTTAAAATGGTCCAAACAAGTCATTTAACTTGTTATAACAAGTTAGATGAGACATGTCGACGCCTGGTTAGTGAAAAAATAAAATAAAAAATAAAAAAGTTAATAATTTTCTTAAAGAAAAAATATAAAATTATTAATTAAAAACTAATTAAAATAAATCTATCTTAATAAAAAAATACTCCACCAACCCGGACCACCCCTTCCGCCACCTACTCTACCTAGACTCCCTACACCCCTACTCCGGCAATGCACAAATTTCCTCCCATGCCCCGGCGCCGTGTCGCCCCCCTTTCTCTAAACCACCAACCTTCCTCTCCCGCGAAACCCTCTTAAACTACGTCGCCCACCATTGAGACTATTCTTCTCCAGTCCCTCGTTTTCCTCTCATGCGCTGCCCAACGTCGGTTTCGTCCATGGGATGAAAGCTTGACCTATGCCTGGTGTGCTGATCCGACCGCGCCATTGATTTTTCTATAGCCGCCTTGTCCACGTCTATGTTTCTTGATCCAAGGAGACTGCTAATATTGTTATAACTTGTTCTTAGGCTTTTGTAATGCATACATATGGTTATGGTGGTTGGTTGGTTTTGGGGGCTCAGGGGAGGTAAGGTGGTGGAGGTTGCTCCGTTGCTAGATCGTTGGCGATGGTGAATTGTTAATTTGCTTTTTAAATTATTATTATTGTTATTATTATTATTATTATTATTATTATTATTATTATTATTATTATTATTATAAATTTTAAAACATACTTCCTCTGTTCTTTTTTACTTGACCTGTTTCTTTTATCACACTTGCCGATGTAAAAATATAGCGATCAATAACTTTAATTCTCGATAAGTAAAAATTATAAAAGTAATATATTATGATAGTACTTGTTGAGACGAATTTAAAAATATCTTACATGAATATGTTTTTCTTTAAATATTATTCTCCAAACCCGGTCAAAGGAGGAGTGGTGAATAGTGTAAAAGTCAAAGCGGGTCAAGTAAAAAAGAACGGAGGAAGTATAAGTATTATTATTTAGTTTTTAAATTAGTTAGTTAATTTTTTTTTTGTTTTTTTGTTTTTTTTTTAGATAAGTTAAGTAAGTGTTAATTTTACTTGAATATTAATTAGTGACATGTGTAAATTATTTTTTTAAAAAAATTACTTATTCAACTGGTTATCGGTCACTTGGGACCATACTCAATAAATTCATATCAAAGTTGGGATTATTAAAAAATAATCAAAAGTTGGAATTTTTTTGGATGAATCACACAAAGTTGGGATTATTCTTCTTAATTATTCAAAAATAAAATGAATATGAAACAATAAAATTAAAAAAAAAGTTTTCTTTCTTTGTTTAAAGAAAAAAATTAAAATTAAAAAATTAATATCACCAAGGCACCAACAACCCTAGGCATCATTTCCCAGCTCCCTGTGTCCCTTACAACGCAACTCCGATCTACCTGCCCCCAAACCTAGCGCCGGCTCCAGCGCTCGATCGACTCTCGTCCCCTAAACCACCAACCCCTTCCCTCCCTCCCCCAAAAAAACCCAAGCATCTCCCTACCCCTAAAAACCCATTTTCTGTCACGATCCTATCCCCCCTCCCCTCCCCAATCCCTTTTTCCGGATGTGTCGACCTCCCCGTCCCCAGCTCTTTCTGTTCAACGAATCGAGTGGATTTTCGTCGTTGTTGATGGGATTTGCTTCTGGATGTTCGTTGCACGTTTTGCCTTAGGTTTTCGAAGCCTAGGTCGAGATCGATGAGGTTGTTGGGGGGTTGTTGGCATTGAAGTTGAAATTTTAATGGGGCTGGTGGTTTGTGCGACACGACACCGCTGAAGGGTCTGGGTGTGGCTAACGCGGGGGAGAGGGGATTGAGGCTTGGTGTGGGTGGTGGGTAGATCTGGCAATCCTGACCCAGACCCGATGACCCGACCCGACCCATGACCCGAAATCGACCCGAAATCAGTGACCCGAAATTGATTAAAAACCCGAATTAACCCGACCCGACCCGAAGTGGAACTGACCTAACCTTGACCCGAAACTCGAAATGACCCAACCCGAAACGACCCGATCCGAGATGACCCGACCCAAAGTTGACCTGAGACCCGAAACGACCCGACCCGAAAATGACCCGACCTTTAACTTCTTTTAGTAAATAATTACATAAGTTACTACATCCGTTAACTTTTATTTGCAATTTTGGAATATTTTATATCTCACAAATAATACCCCAAAGTTACAAATAAAAGTTAACGAAGGTAGTATAAAAAGTTTATATTAGGAAATTATACATTAAAATAGATCCATAACGTCTTACATGACTACATTGACTTTCATATAATAGTTAAAAAAGATGGTCAAAGATTGATGTGTGAATAGTGCAAAATGTTAAATCTTTAAGAGTAATTTGGGACGAAGGGAGTATAAGAATAATTCAAAGAAATTATTACAACAATGACAATGATAATAAGAGTACGTATTAAAACTAAGATCAATAAGAGAGTGAGGTATAACTCAATTAGTTAGAGCATCCTTCTTAGTTTCAGGAGATCCTGAAAGTGATTCTCAGCCTAAAGTTCTAAACACAAAAAAAAAAAGGTTAATAAAAGTCAAACAATTACTATAATCCATGAAAAAATAGCCTTAATAAATATAGTGAGTTTTTCTTCAAAAAATAAATAAATATATATACAAAGTTAAATTTAACCTAATGAATCACCCGAATATGACTCGACTAGAAGTTGACCCGAAAATTGGACCCGAAAATTGACCTGACCCGAATTGACCCGATCCAAACTGACCCGACCCAAACTTGACCCGACCCGAACTCGACCCGAACTGTTGACCCGATACCCGATCCGACCTGATTATCAGTCGACCGGAAATTAATCCGAAACCCGAAATGACCCGACCCGACCCAAACTTGACCCGATAATCTTTTGACTCGAACTTGACCCGACCCAAAATGATCTGACCCATACCCAACCCGAAATGATCCATTTGCTAGGTCTAGTGGTGGGTAAGGAAAGTGTGGTGGTTAATTTTTTTATTTTATCACTAGTAGAAAAATAGCAAAGGGCATCGGTTCAAACCCGGCTTAAGGCACTGGTTTGAACCGGTGCCAATGTGAGGGGTGCCAATTACCCCCATTTTGGCACCGGTTCAAAATCGGTGCCATAAACCGGATTTGGCACCGGTTAACCGGTGCCAAAAATACTCAAAAAAAAATATTATCCCTCCTTTTGGCACCGGTTAACCGGTGCCAAAATTGTCCAAATTTTATTTTATTTTATTTTTTTTTTGGTTTTTTTTCACTTAACAATTAAATCATCTAAAAAAAATAACATCACAATATAAATGGAATTCAATATAATCCAAAATTACAATATATAATCAAATCCAAAATTACAATATATAATCAAATCCAAAATTACAATATAAAATCAAATCCAAACTTACAAAATAAATCAATTAAAACTAACATATAAATAAATAAATAAAATTACATTATAAATCATAAAAAAATTTACAATATACTCGTAAATCTAAAAGAAAATTACAATATAAACATATTCAATTTTCTGAATAATCTGTACCTGCACCAATTAAAACAAAAAAATAATAATAATTCAATTAGTAAAAATAAGCTTAGGAAAAAAAAACCTAGAAATTCAATCCAAACAATTCAAACCCAGAAAAAAAAGCATTAGTTCAAACCATGGAAAAAAAAAAACAGAAAATGAAATCGAAATCAAAAAAATATCAAAATCGAAAAAAAAAACCAAAAATGAAATAGAAAAAAAAAGAACCAAAAAATCGAAAAAAAACAAAACCAAAATCGAAAAAAAAAAACAATTAAGATTGAAACCCAAAAATTAAAATCAAAATTGAAACCCAAAAAACCAAAATAAA